CGAGAAATTACGTCTTTATCATCATTATTTATCTTTGCATAATGTAACAAAATTACTCTAATTTTTCACTTTTATATCATAATTTTACACAATTTCAACGACGGATCAGCCCTAAAACGACTTGCAGCTTAATCACTTCCCCAAAACTGCTCGCGAATTCAACATGTAACTCATTTTTTATAGCTTTTTCAAACAATATCCAGAAAGTCAAAAAGAATTTAAGTCGTTTAAGGACGTCCCTCTCGATGAACTGCCGAAAAATAAAAGATTTCAAGCGCACTGCATTAATATCGTAACAACGCTTGGCAAAGTGATTGAACAAATGCACGATCCAGAATTGATGGAAGCAAGCTTGATTAATTTTACCGAAAAACACAAGGTTCGTGGACAAACACCAGAGCAGTTTGAGGTAAGTAAATGTTTATCTTTTTATCTTTTACATTTTTTTTCAATGGCATAACATTAATATATATCTTGTATCTAAAATTTTGTTTATAAATTTCGATCCATTTTTATTTTTTCATGTAAATAAATTTATAAACATATGTACATCTTTTATTCTTAAATGCTATTTTTTAAAATACACAAGTTTTTTTATATAGATATAAAACGATCTTAAATTTTAATGAATTATCTTTGCTTCCTCTATAAAATTATTTCTCGAAATTACTCGGAATAAGCTGATAATAATTTTCTATCTTGTGTACTAATACTTACCAGATTGATTGCTTTCAGCAGAGAAAACTAATCAGTATGCGCTCATTGAGTTTTTTTCTATTAAACGCAATCATTAATTTTATTTGAAACTCTATAATAAGACCGTATATGTGTGATAACACAATAAAAACTATAGCAATGAAAGCCTCGCATGGATTGCAAGAGATCTGGGTTCGACTCTTGGCCGAGTAATATTTTTCGCAATAAGAATTAATTATTTTAGATTTTATTATGTCACTCAGCATAATTAAGATCATTTCGAAGATGCGAAAAAGCATCAAAAAATTGTTAAAAATGCTAGTCAATTTTAACTCGTGATATTACTGCGGTAGTTTAATAGAATTAGCATTTCAAGAAAAATTTCGGCGCACGTTTCAAAAAAGGACTACATTCATAGTATATAAATTCAGAATAGAAGCAGCTTAAGATCCAGCTAGACCGTTTAAAACTTTGATTGCTGTAGTTTCTATTTAATCAATTAACTCTGTCTGTATGTTTTTATTTTATTATGTCTTAAGATATAATTGTTATAAATAATTGTAATAAATATCTTTCAGAATTTGAAACAAGTAATACTAGGAGCGTTCCCCTCTTTATTCGGAAAGCAATATACGTCAGAGGTACAAGAGGCTTGGAAAAAAACCTTGGACTTGATCTTTTCGAGAATTTATCAGGTGTATACAAATTGAGAACATAATCGCGAATTTTTAATTATTTGTAAATGATAAACTTGTGGCACGTATTATATATCGCTTTTTAAAAATAACATCTATCAGAAAGTTTAATCAATCATGACAACGATATGTTTTTCGCAAGATATTAACGAAACTTATATATAATTTTTGCACGAGATTTAATTTTTTTTTTAATTATATTGATGTTTCAAGAAATGAAAGTGATTAACGAGATCAATATGATGATACGATATTGTGATGAAATTTGTACATATATATGTTCATGTGACAATAAAATATATCTTGTATGAAATTAGTGCGAAAAATTGTCCTTCCATCTAGTTTTTAAATAAAATTAGGAAATTAAAAGTTTTTAAAGATTAAGAATTTTTTTTCTACATAGAAGAAAATATCGTTTCGTGACTGTAATTTTATTTAAAGTTTTTAACTTTATTGGATAAATTTATTTCATTAATCTAACATGTTTATCAATCTTTATCTTTCTTTTTCTATAATCGTTTTAAAAACTTTATTTTTCGATCGATCAACTCTCACATTGCGCAACATCAACAAAATGTGACGTTAGCCAAATGTGCATTATTCGATTAACCTAACCGCGAAATGTCAATTGCTTATCCTTATTGTGTTCTATTAACATTTGCCGAAACGATAAGACAGGATAATATGGAGAGCTCTTGAAAAAACAAGGAATGAATATCACTAACGCGACCATTCACGATATTTTATCAGGTGAGTCAATCGAAGGATTTCCGAAGCGATGACATTCGTAGTTGGCACGATGTATTTTAGGACGTCAGGCGATCTCCTTGTCCATATACACTATCAGTAGCATTATAATCGCGATTATAATTTGCACTTGCTGCTGCACCCTGTGTGTGAAATACAAGTATGCGAAGATCATTGGTAAGCTGACAGGAAGACGGAAAAAAGAGTCAGTATATAAAAAACTATTGTTTATATAATGCAATGCTCAGCACGATTCCGAGATTTAATAAAATATAAAAAGCGACTGATCAGGAGGTAAAAATACACAGAAAGTATTTCTCTTCCGACGTCGAGGAAGGACGAAAGAAGTTGTGGAAAAAGAAGAAAAAATCCGTATCGCCGGACTTGATACAGACGGAAGTCACCGCGCCGATTGTCCCAAAGGAACTGATGAGGGCAGAGAGATTGGAGACCCCGTCACCGACTCCCTGTTACAAATGTTACAGAAAAAAGAAAAAAGGACGAAGAACGAGACACATACGATGAGATCGCGGAGAAGGTTAATTCATAAGTAAACGAGGCAACGAAAATGAGACATCTTCCCGAATTGAAAAGAAATAAAAACACATGCTATAACAGAATGATCTTTTGTTTTTATCTGCGCGACTCTTTCTCTTTCTGTAACGTCTCGTTTCAAAAATGCGGACAATCGGTATTTATGTCGTAATTATCGCGATAATTTTTGTCTTAAGAATCCGCGGTACGATAGACGTGAATCTGAGCGAATTGGTATATCTCGCAGCTCAATTGAGCCCGGTCGAATGTAGGCGATTAATCGCCGCGCTTCATTACACGACTTATGACTTGCCAAGCAGCTTGGCCGAGGCAGGTCAGCTCTTCTTTTCATGATTCTACATGGAAAGAATGATTTTAGTGAAGTATCTAAAAATTTAGGTAAATATAAATCGGAAAATAATTTTGTCGGATCATCTAAATAATTAATGTACTTTCTAAAACTTTTACAGTGAATCTCTGAAGAGTGAAATCTCAAAGATTAAAAGTTGAGCCACCCCTTTTCAAGATTAACTCAATTTTCACTCTTTACAATAAAATTTTAAAGAATTCAGAAAGTAGGAAATTCAAGCGTGATAAGCAACGCTGCAAAAGTTTTGATATAATTCTAACAATCTGCATCTCGACTGTTCCCTGTATAATTATTTTAATAATCCAACAAAATTATTTTTAGATCTGTAGGTAAATTTTAGATCTTCAACAAAATCGTTCTTTCTACGTAATCTTATATCGCAAGACTCTTTTATTAATAGCTTTACCCTTCGAATGATTTAATTAACATTCAATCATTCCTGCGAAAAGAACGTAAGGTGGACGAGGAAATCCCGTGTCTGCGTTTACTCCTTCATTGGAATAATTCTCCTGAGGAGGGCCGGGGAAAGACGCACGCGGCGATTGTACACCGACTTCGACAGCTAAATCGTAACGATCTCGCCGATTGGCTTGGCAAAACCACCTTCAAACAACTGGGAAAGGATCTGGACAATGCTATTACGCTGTCCTTCGACGAACTCGCCGAGGAAGAAATGGAAACCAGCACGTCGGCATTCCACATTGCTAATTATACTCAGAGCTGTGCAAAACACGATCAAAATATCCTTTACAAAATGCAAAATAGCCATAAAATATATCTTATCTGTAAAGTATAAAGTAGCGAAAAGAGAGTATATTTGAACATTGAAATTGAACAATGAGAACAAAAAATCGTTATAATAAATACTATAAATTCTTATTTAAATCAAATACGATAGTAAAAGTTTTTATATATTTACTATTTCTTCAAAATATTCATAAATTAATTAAAGAATCATGTATTTTAGATAAAGTATATTGCACAGCTCTGATTATAATTCGACTGTTTTATTTGACTTCTGCATATTGTTTCTTTTAATATAAAATATAATTTTGTTTAAATACTACATCAAGTATTTGTTACGTTTGCAGCTTAACTACAACAATGTCTGTTATATGGATTCAAGAGGAAAATCCGTGGTTAACAATCGATACAATTCTTATGGCTGTACTACTTGGATTGCTAGGAACGCTATTTGTTTTAATTGTGGCCGTTATCATACATACCGTTAAGAGCAATAAAAATTAAACATAATGTTTTTCTTTTCTATTTAAGTTTAAGTGAAGTTTCTAAAATATAAATATCCACATGTTAAAGAATAAATTAATAATAATAAAAACGTTTTTCTTTATTCTCATTTTGTTAAGCTTATTTTTTGTTAATGTAAATAAAAATGCATTACGAAATTAGAAAATCTCAATATTTTATCATGTTATTTAAGAAAAAGAGGAAAGCAGATATTATTCTTGATATTTTCAAAAAAAAATATGCGGTGAATATAGAATTGCTTTTATTACAATATATAAATCTCTTAAAACGAAACATTTTTCTTTTTAATAATTTAAGGCATTTAGGAAAGAAGTTATAATATATGGGTGAGCAACTTAATTACCCTGTATTCTTGTGTAAAATTTTTCAAATATAACACGAATGTATACATGAAAAATGTCACATTATAATAAAACTGTGCTATGTAAATCTTTCATGATAGGACCGTTTTTATAAATATTAAAACCGCCTTAAGTTTAAGTGTATAGTTCTTTTAGAAAGTGAGAAACACGTTTAAAATCTTAGTCATCTTTAGCTAATTATGCGTGGTTATGGAAATGATTCATACGCACAAATACAGAAAATTATGTGAATGCGATATTTAATCGTAATAATACGCTATTCAATAATAATATCAATAATAGTAAAATACAAACGCGTGTGAAACAATGAACATGGCAACTACCATCACAATGACAGTGACAATGATAATGATAACAACGATAATAGCGCGCATGATGACAACTGTTACACATATATTAATAATTGCGATAATCGACTGTAAACTTTCTTACGACTTATGACTTCGAGACGTAAAATTGCGACTGAACAATTAATCTATCTAATAGTAACATGCATTTATATATGAACGTTATAATAGTTACGAAACTAATAAATCAGCTGCATTTGATTTGTCGCAAATGTACAGTTAAACAAATTTTAACGTAATTGCTATCTGTTAGCTTGATTAGTCTGTTTAGATCTACCATACCACTATTATGCTTCGTTTTTATTAAATTTTACAAAATTACTTATGTAACAATTAATAATCTTTGAAACAGAAATAATAATAAAATTGTAATGAATCTGTTGGTAATCATCAAATGTAATTTAATTCATTTTACATTTGTTAATTATGTTTGTAATTGGCCAAACTGTTTTTACTTATGTGTATAGTTTGCAGCTAAAAATAAAATTGATGATTGGAAAAGATTATAAATGTAGTTATTGCGATTGGTTAATACCAATTGACGAATAAAGTGTTTGTCATTTAGATAATTCGCGGACGGAGAAAATGCGAACGAAACGCATATGTTGCAACAGATGATATCACTACAATGAGAAACATTAAATTAATGTGTTATTAATTTAATATAGTAACAATAATAGTAATAATGTAATAATAATATAACAGTAATAATAATAATCTTTCAAAAGGAGATTTAAAAAAAAAAATAGAATATTATTCGAAATAAAATATTAAAAGATAATATCTCTAACCATGTAACAATGGTATTCTATATAGGAATAATAGTTGTATAGTTATAGTAGTAGGAATAATAGTAGGAGTGATGATTGCAATAGTAATAGTGTAGCAATATAGTAACAGAATAGTATTAGTAATAGGAATAAAAGTAATAGTAATAATAGTAGTAGTAGTTGTAACTAGCGTGATAATATTTTGCACTAAAAGTCGGCAATGTTGATAAAAAGAATAAATTAATCGATATTTAATCGACAGAAAAACTCACGATGTGAATTTGCACAACCGTCATTTTCGGTATATTTGATGTGCCATACGATATAAATATTTTCTGGAAATATGTTCTCTTTCTTTCTTTCTCTCTCTCTCTCTCTCTCTCTCTCTCTCGCTTTCTCTCACTCTCACACTTTGTCTCTTTCTCTCTCGATATATATTCTATATGTACAGCGAGACGCACGTTCTACCTGAACACGTCATTACTTAGATATTTGGAGAAGTACATTATCTTTTTCAGCCCTAGATAAGAAAACAGACTAAAGAATTTTGTTTCCTGCTTCATTTTGCATCACTCATTCTTGAATTAAAAAGGAATGAGAATTAAGCTGTTTTTTTAAATAACGAGATAAACTTTTTAGAAATTCAATTACGTAAGAAAAATATAATGTCTAAAATTATAATACGTTGTTCCTCAAATCATTTTAGACAAATATAATTATAATGGAATCTTTTGGCTGTTAAGATAGTTCTCTAGCGTAATAGATAGAAATTAAGTTATAAAAATAATGGCTTTCTATGAAACTTCTTCTAAGGACATCTCGACTCCTCGAGAAATCTCTCTTTGAAAAGGATTATGCGTTAGATCGGAAACGTCCCGTGTATTACGTATCTAAAAACGCGTATTCTTTCTATTTTTCTCTTTTTCTTGTCCTTTCTTTATTCATTCCGCTATTTTGTTATATTTATCTTATGTTTCTCTTTCTATTTGTTTTCCCTTCTTCCTATTCTTGCGTTTCTTTTATTGCATCCCAGCGGACTCATCGTTTTGTTGCACGGATTTTTCGAAAACGTACGATGATCTACGAAGATCCATGGCGAGTAATGAGCAAATCGTCGCGGATTGCTGTCTCTACGAAAGGCACTAATATGATAGTTTATCACAGAGTCTGTGCGTGTATGTGTGCGCGTGATTGTGTGCATGTACGTGTCCCGACACTTGTCGTTTAGATCGAATTTTTTTAGATCCTGCGTTCTAGATCTTCGTGGAGAAGACTGTTATTGTTGGTTTCGTGAATTGACGCGGGGGATGATTCGTCCGGTTGTTCACCCCCACTTAATTCTAATTGGCCGGTACTGTCACCACTGCTGGAACCGCATTCGCCATCAACAAATCTGAAAAAGAACATTTTTTTTAATATACTAGGCAGAATGTTCCATTTTGATTATACATTTCATGTATCTCAGTGATTTTGTCTATTTTAGAAAGATATTTTAAAGAAAAAAATGATGCATGCAGTAAATTTTTCATATCACATTTTTTAAATAAAATACATCATTAATATTTTCAAACCACAATATTTTTTTTATACCTTTTTTTTTCTAACACTTTTATTTTACATGTAAAAATAAGATTATAAAAGATTAATAGATAATTTGGAGAATAATTTAAATTTTAGATTGACATTTCTGTGACACATTTAAAATATAAAATCTCATTAAAAATATTTATTTTCTCTTCGATCTTATTTTAATGCCTTTAATGTGTTATATAAAATATTTATCTACACTGTGAAAAAAATATCTAAATTTCAATTAATATTTATTTGAATACTACCAACTAAATGTTTAAATATAAAAATATATTTATTTGATATAAAAAATATTAATTTGATTTAACAATCACTTCTTTTTATTAAGTAAATATTTATTTATCGTAAGTAAATATTTAGTTGATAGTATTCAAATAAATATTTATTTAGGCTATTCTTTTCTCATTGTAAATATTCATTCTCCTATTTTTTTCCTCTTTATTTAATTCTTCACATATAAATTGTTTAATTTTAATATAGCGGATAATTATTTCACGCTATGTTGCGATTTAACAAAACACTAGAGTAGAACAATACTCACGTGTACGGCTGTTCTTCGCCGCGCATCTCGCATATGACATTTGTCAGTGCTATTATATAATTTTTAGCCAACGTGAGCGTTTCTATCTTGCTGAGCTTCCTCTCCATTTTTACGTGTGGTATTACCTCGCGTAATTGCTGTAAATTACAACCGGGAGAAGTGGATTGAAAGTCTATCTATTACATCGAATTATATTCGCGATAAATAACGACTTGCAATCTAATCAAATATGATCGAAAGTTGATACATTTTTAACGATGCTACGCATGATCAGTCAATACGAGAATTACTTATCGGATAAAACTGCAGTTGCGAGTTGTCATTTTTCTTCCATACAAATCAATGTTTTTGCATTTCGTCGTTCACTGCCGATCGACAACGTTTCGCATAGTAATAAATAATGATCATAATATAATCGAGTTAAATAAACAAATCATCTTTTTTAGAAACAAATATTAGTAAAAAATTATATATATATATATTTAACTACAATATCTTTCTTATTTTTTAAGAGTATTTTTAACTACAATATCTTTCAAATATTTTATCGCCAAATATTTATATTAATTATATTTTAAATAAAAGAAAGAAAATCCTATTTTCAGTCGAAGCAGATCTTTGTGCTTGATAACAAATAATAATAATAATAATTTCTTTATCTTATTTAATTTTATTGATTTATAAGTATTTTAAATATATAGCATTTCTGTTGCTCAGCGGAATCCCGTGGACGTGTTTATGGGACAAAAATCGAATTATACTTCATTATTTTCACTCTTATTGTTCGTGATTTAATGTTCCGTAGCGAAAGTTTCTCGTTCTTCGAAAGTTTTTAGCAAAGTTCGTCGCGCTCGTCGACGCGACGACGAAGCGAAAGCTGCCTGAGGAAGCAATAAACTGTTACCTCAAAGGCATCGTTGAGGGAGTGCATTCTCATTCTCTCTCTCTCGTTACTCTCGAGCCTCCTCAGGTTCCTCTCGCGTGCGGAAATTCCGCTTTTCCGTCTTCTCGTGGTCGGCGGCGCACTGCTGCGATTTCTTCTCTTCGCCTGCTTCGGACTCCTCTCGCTTCCGCTGCTGTCGCTCTCCTCGCCCACCTGTTTTTCGTTTGGTTCATAACAGAATAGATCTTCGTTAAATATTTGCTCTAGTGTTTCATAGCCCAACGTGATGAACATACGAGCGAATCTCCATTTGAAAACTTCCCACAAAGAATTTACATTCGAAAATTGTGCTGATGTATAATATTTGCTCTCAATCCATTCAAAGAACACAGAGCGTTTACAAATATCTTGTACAGTGCTTTTTATTATCTTTAATATTATGTTTTATGTAAAACATGGTAATATAAATATTTTGTTATGATGTAAATTTTTTATTTCGTTAAATTGATTTTAGTAACACTTTGAAAAGAATATGATTAATTTTTTTAATTTACTCTAAATTCACTGTTAATTTAATATTCATTTTGAATTAATTTCATAAGAAAAATGATTATCTTACAAATGTATTTCAAAGAATTTATTATCCACAGGTGCGTCTATATCCAAATATAATCGACACAAACAAAAGTGATTATTTTAATGCGCGATAACGTCTTACATAATAGTATTTTCTAATCTAATCTAACTAAAGATCTTACCGTGCTATTTTCATCAACAAAAGAACTTATTTAACCTCTTTATCCCCTTGTCTCTCCTTTTAACAATGCGTTTCGAGGATATTTGTCTAAGCGATAAATGCTGATAGATAAAATGTTTGTAATTTTCTTCGGTGCTGCATAATGCTGATAAAAAAAAATAATTTACTCAATTTGGATAACTGATAACGAGCGACATTTGTTCCACGTATTACATCCAACGGTTTTCGCTTTTAAAACTAATTTATTATTAACTATTCATCGAATTCGATTAAAATCAACTAATTTTGTTTATGTATCGCATTGCGCTAAACAATTTGTATTCGTCTCGTTGCAAATTATCTATTTCGTCATGTTACAAATCAAGAAGTGTCGGAAAAGTCTGTGTCTTATCAAATCGGCATGATAATAAAGAATTATGTGGGTCGAATATCTTTTCTTATTCAGTGCTTAAATGCTTACGGAACTTTAAAAACCTGGGACGAGATAACGCGCGTCACAAAGTGCGATAAAAAAAAGGAAACGAGGGAGAGAGAGAAAGAAGAGAATAAATGAAATACCTCCGCGACATGGTGGCGAGTACGTTTGCCGGTAAGCGAGTCAACAGAGGCGTCGTCCAGGTCGATGTACATTTCCCGATCACCACAGTCTTGGTCGCTACCCGATAGCCTATCTAGGCTTCGCATTATTCCAATCAAAATCACAGCTCGATCTCTCTGTAACAGATCGCATTATCTTAAAAAATGCGTAAGTGCTAGAAAAATACTAGAAAAGAAAGCAGGAAACGCTCTTCTTACGCAAATATCGTTGCAGCTCTCTTCCTATCTTTTTCATAATATAAAAAGTACGGTAAAAAGTAAACACAAGCTTGTAATAAATGATAAATGGAAAGAAGCAATTAAAAGTTAATATCTTTAATTAAGTATTTATGATATTGTAGCTGTGTTTTTGAAAAATATTATATAACAAGGATTAAATTATATTATATTTAAAGTGTCTGCTATAAATATAGATATGTTTATGCAAGTAAAATAATGATGTTATTCAAGACTTCGAAAAAGAAATAATTATATATTATTATACACTTTATAAAATTTATATATTTGATATATATATATATATGTGTGTGTGTGAAATAAAAATAAGATGAAATATAGAATCATTATAATGAACAATGTTCGTGATAAAACTATGTCTTACAGGATGCATATAATGCAATAATTCATGTTACGATTCATTGCAGAAAAAAACTTTTAGAATCATCTATCAAGATTAAACGTCATTATCGATACTGACGCTAATATTTCGTTGGACGATTCTGAAATACCCGACTATCAGACTATAAGTCACGATGCTGCTTCTTTAAAACATTGATTCTGTTAATGCGAGTAAAGCGAGATGGGAAAAGAGAGAGAGAGAGAGAGAGAAAGAGATCAACACGAGCACGTGTGGGTGATAATATTATCAAATCGGGTGTCCCATTTTTCCTGCTTTGCTCTTCAATGCCAAGAATTGCTGTTCGTGGCCACGTCAGACACATGTCAGATTGGACCAATCCGGCTGTCAGAATCGAGACCGGTGATTCGAGATGGATGCGAAACACGACTTCTTCGTGGCTCTTACTTTCTCTCGCTATCGAGCGCTCATGCGATTGCTCTTATGATATTATGATTTCGTCAAATCTTGACGCGTAAACGCACGAACAATAATGCAGTCAGATCGGGCTGTCTATGAAGTTAAGCAATACAGTGGAGTTGCATAACGCATGATATTATCGGGAATAATTAACTTTCGATTTTTCAAACCTCCTGATGTTTCTGAAGGAATTCGTATGCAATTTGAATTTTCCGTAGATTCTTTTATTTTAAATTTAACTGAAAAAAGAGTCTAATAGCTGTCAATTGTTGAGCAAAATAATTTCAATGAAACGTTCTATTAATGTAATAAAAAATAATTTTACTTTTCTAAATATTTCATAATTATTACTAAACGTTATTAGTTTGGTATTATATTATTATGTTTGGTAATACTTATTAAATATTTAGAAGAGTGTAATTATTATGTTTAATCATTATTAATATTATTAGTTATACAAATATTTGATTGAAATTATTTCACTTAACATTTAATATTCCCAGATTCTTTTTTCAATACGCTAAAAAAAGGTAGAATGTTTTTCTCGTATTAATATATTTTTCGAAAATAAAACGTTACAAAATTACATTAACATAAAATTAAAATTATATTAATTGTCAATATATTTCCTTGTATAAATTCCTCGATTAATATATCGACACAGTTTATTTTATTCACTTGATATCTTTCATATCGAATTAATATAAAGTTTATGCAAAGTTTTCCACAACATGTAGTTGCGACACGTTATTCATTTAGGAACATATTAGCTTAATGCGATTATAATTAATCGCCGAGTGGATACGTCGGTAGCGAAAATTTGCAGCCCCACGCATATTCGATTCGTAAACGCATGCTTGTATTATGTTAACGCATGCAATATTGCCAGCAAGCATGACAAATCGACCTACAATCGCAAAGTGGCGAAATACTGTTTTACGCGAAATACAAGGTGCAATTTTTCAGACACGTTTCTATCGCGACAATGATACATAAATTTTGCGAGAACATTGCTGCATAATAACAAAGTCGTTTCTCTATCTTTTAATAGGTCGTATCCGATATCGATAACTCTGCTGCAATAACTTATCGTAACTCTATTCCATCTCTGGCACACGTTTTTATTTTTTACGAGTTATGTACATATGTATTACCTACATATACGAATATGTACGAATCATGTATTTTATATATACATATATATATATATATATATA